TTACTGAATAATTACTAGCACTGTAGTGGGTTTTTGATAGGGGATGCTAACTCCTATTCAGAAAATAAACTTCTTGCTTCATCTCAATAATGATACACAGAAGGATACCAATGTCTTAACCTGAAGACATTCTCAAGGTAACAATTTCCAAGAATCACATTTACTTATCAGCCAAACTCTATTATAAAATGAAGTACAAATGTGTTTCTCTATGAAATACATATCTGAGCTATACAAAAGAGATAAAGTTGTATGTAATCTCTTTGGTATTGGATTCAGAACTGGGTTTCTAATACATGCTTAATAAATCCTTGATAAGTCCTTGTTGATTGCCTGGTGGATTTTTTTACTTTATAAATGGACATATAGACAGACCTTTCATTAGCTCCTAAACCCTAGCTCCCTTAATTCCAAAGTGATTTATACTCAACCTTTTTATGATGTCTATGTTCTATACAGTCAAACATGATCGTAATTTTAAAATTCTCGTATGGCATAGTCTAAACTATAAAAGAAAAGTATATAAAGATAAATATTAAGACAGTCTTATAGATAGGTAAAGACTGAAAAAAGAATATATACAGAAAGTGACTGACTATGCTTTTTAAATGCTTTAGTTACTTCAATATAAAATTATCAGTGATAGGTAAAACTTGTCATGGCTTTATCTATAAGAATTAAGACCAGGTGGTAGGCTAATCAATATCCATTTTTTGTTTACTTTGTTTAGTAATGAAATAATTAAAGGGCTAAAAAGAGAGAAATGGAGAGTATCTCTTAGGTATGAATGCCTGCTTATTTTGCCTTGATTCACTGAAACCTTCATTGTACCCAGGTCTCCCACTTGGAGGACACCACAACTATTCTATTTATCAACCAACAGTAAAAATTTTAAGGAAAATAAGTACAGGAAATTTTATTTTCGTTATCCTTTAATATAAATTGTTTTTTCCTTTTATTCAGGGTAAGGATTAAAGGAACCAGAGGGGTTGAGGACACCCCAAGAACACAGTCACAGAATCAACAGCAATGCTTAAGAAAGAAACTCTAATAAGAGTAAGCACTGAGAACACAATGATGAATAATAACCATCCTCAAATGTTGCTTACCTTTTAAAATGTGAACATTCACAGATAGTTAAGTAGAATATACACAGGGATAAAGGTATGGGAGATTCAGGTGAGCATTAATTATCCAAAGTTTACTGGGGCAATTATAATACTAGTACTGAGAGAAACAAGGCAATGTGTTAATCATCAATGACACACCTTTGCACCTAGTGTGATTGTAGCTGCCTATTGGATTTTAATACATATTTCCATTTTTTCTTTTTTATTATTTAAAATTTGTTTCTCCTTTATATTAAAGAACATGTGGTCAAAATCTGGATATCAATAGCTGAGTTTTACTATTGTCTTCACTCATAGTGGGTGCTTTCTGGGACTGTATGAAAGTCACTTCTGTAGCATTATTCACTATTACATTTCCTGAACCCAAATATTTCAGTTATTTCTTGAGAATGAGACTTTTGATCCTGACCAAAGGCTCAGAAAAGTAGTGCTTTGTGGAGGAGGAGAGGGAGATTGCAATCTTCTTGTACTTGATAGTTTTCTCCATCAATTGATGTCCTTCCATATTTTCTAGGTCCATCTTTCTCTCAAAGAACATCCATCCCTTTCCTCTTACTCTATATCTAGTCTCCTGGACATTACAAAAATTAGAGGATAACCCTGGTCTGGAAGTCAAATGGCTTGGGTGAAATTGAATCTTTTCTACTTCGTAATTTTGAGTTTGGAATAGTGCCTCCACAATTTTGCTTTTTCTTTTCTTCATCTTTGAAATGATGAGATGAGTTTTTAAGCCATTTTCTGCATTTGTGAGTATAAGCCTCTAATAATGACTAGTGTAGTCCCTTGGGACTAATCTCTAGGTGGTTCTTATGCTTAAGACCTTTCACCCCAGTCAGAAAACAGAGAGATAATGTTGTCTTCCTATTCTTCATGGATAACTACTACCAGAGTTAGCATGGGCATGTACAACCTACAGACACATAAGATGCAATGTTTAGAAGAGTCCTGTGCTTGACCTAATGCATTGCTGAAGCTATTTTGAAGTGTATACTTTGATGGGGAAATCCTGTGTCTATGTCAATAAAGCACTGTTGGCCAATAGGGAAGCAAGATAGATGGGATTAGGAGTTCAGGAGGACTCTGGGTAGGAGAAACACAGGGAATCAAGATGTAACCACCATAGGGATAAGAAGCCCAGAAACTTCTCCGGTAAGAGAAATACTAAGATTAGCAATTATGGGATAATTACTTAAGTCAGAGCTAGCCAGTAAGAAACAAGCAAGGCCAACAGCTTCATAATTAATACAGCGTCTTGCGTGTTATTTGGGGACTACAACGTGGCAGAGCCCAGGCGACTGGCAGGGGAAAAACCAAAGCATCTGACAAGAAAAAGGCTTCCCTCTACAAATGGTGATCAGGAGTGGGATCATGAATTTACACGTAGAATGACAAAAGCTTTAAAGGAATTTTAGAAACAAAAGAACGGAGAAATGCATGGGTTCTTGGTAGTAGCATTTTCTCAGGTGGGCTCTCTTTTGCTAGTGACAAGCAGAGACTCACACACTCGATTAAGGGAGTCTTCCTGACTCAGCATAAGCAAAAACAAACAAACAAACAAACAAACAAACAAAAAAACCAACAAGGTTCTTTTAAGAGGCTCTACTAACAATTGAAAGGTGTATATGTACAGCTGGAAGTGGCAGCGACCACATATCCAGGCCTGCAGCTTTTGCTGGATATTAGCATAGACTGAGACAATGTGAGTCACACACAAGCCCGCCATCTTGGAAAAACTGCAGTTTAAACAGCTGCGGTTTTAACAGAAAAGACACGTGGCCAGAAAAACATAAAGATTTACAGTAAAGTCAGACTTGGATGAAGAAAAACCTCTAAAGGTTTACAGTGTATTTAAAAATGTACATAGGATTGAGAGTGAAAAAGAAACGGCATAGTGGTAAATAGAGAACCGGCTGTGGTAGCGCAAGCCGGTAGGATTTGCTGCAGAAGCAGAGGCAGGCAGATTTCCAGAGAAACCCTGTCTCAGAGAAAAATAAATAAAGAAATAACAGTAAAAGAAATAAAGTAATAATAAATAAATAAGCCACGTAAAGATGGAAAATACACAGAGAGTCTGGATACTGTATGCTACTGTGTTTTTCAGTTTTTTGATTGCTAAGGAAGGAACAACTACTAAAGTACACTTGATTATAAATGCTGCTGAATTTACCCAACTGATATCTTTTGAAAATGCTTTGACTTCAAAATTTAAGTATAAGGATATGTTACTTTGGAAAAGAGTATTTGTTTATGTTTCCACAGAAACATGAGGATTCCTTCCAGGCTTCTGTGGTTTGATGAACCAAGATCCTCGGAAGCAGTGGCCCAAGTGATTCAACATCTAAAACAGCTAAGATGATGGAGCCTTACAGACCATGAAAATAAGTATTTATACAGATTTCTGAGTTTTGTCATGATCTCCATGGTGTGAACAGTGCCCCCTTCCAGTACAAAGCAGTTTGGAATGAGCGACGTCCAAATCCCCAGATTGTTTATAAATCTTTGTTTTCATTTGAATGGGGTTGCTTATACTTGGTTAATGATCACAACCAATCTCTTTTTAAAGGAAAAATGGGATTATGGTATGGAAATGAGTACTTTGTATTGGTACAGTTTTCCTTTTATTGATACAAATTCAAGGTCAATTTTGTGATGTGTATATTTCTTCTCTTGATTAAGTGTTGTGCTTATACTGATCTTTTAAAACGTAATGCATAATTAAATACAGACTATAGATAGTTACTTATGATAGAACTTATAGTTAGGTTAGTTAGGTTTTCTAGATATACAGAAATATATTTGAGATAGACAGTCTTCAAACCTTTCAAAGTCCTTCAGAAAATGGCATTTAAAATGGCTTAGGGTTTTTCTTGACAATGAGAAATGTCTGCTCCTGGCAGCACCAATTACGTCTGAGAGGAAGATAGGCATCAAAGAAACGTGTTATGGAGTTGGCTTTCAACACGGCAAGATTAGCCATTTGGGCAAGAAACTGCTCTCGCCTAGACTGCTGGATATGCAGGACCCAAGGAAAGTGACTGCTGAACTCAAATAGTCCTTCAGGGTTCCTGCTTCATGGAAGAGTCTATGAGACTTTCTGCAGGACACAGAAAAATGACTGACAGACTGCTGATGCAGATGGACAGTTTGAAATTTCCTGCTTTGCTGAGAAGTGTTCCAGACACACTGTGGCCTATGGGCTGAAGATGGATGCCTCAACATTAAGAGGAACTTTAGGTGACTACCCAGGAAGCAAGATGTCTCTGTCAATCCTAGTGTTTATATATTATCCTTCTGTGGTCTTTGATAGAGTTGAAGGCAGATAGTTATAATTATAGTTTTCCTTAGTTATGATAAAAAATAAGCTACATATAGAATTTTTGACTCACAAGGATGGGAAGGATGATATTTTTTTTAAATCTTGTTAAATGTTGATAGACAACTTGATAACTTACTTGATAACTGTTCTGTTATAATTTGACTATGTTAAAGTTAAGACCTTTCTTTTTGTTTAGACAGAGAAGAGGAGATGATGGGGAAATCCTGTGTCTATGTCAATAAAGCACTGTTGGCCAATAGGGAAGCAAGATAGGTGGGACTAGGAGTCCAGGAGGACTCTGGGTAGGAGAAACACAGGGAGTCAAGATGTAACTGCCATAGGGATAAGAAGCCCAGAAACTTATCCAGTAAGAGAAATAGTAAGATTAACAATTATGGGATAAATACTTAAGTCAGAGCTAGCCAGTAAGAAATAAGCAAGGCCAACAGCTTCATAATTAATATTGCCTCCTGTGTGTTTATTTGGGACTGATGCGGCTCTGGAACCAGGCTGTTGGGAAGGCTTCTCTCTCTTTACAATACTTTATGAACATTTTTATTTATTTATACTTTATGAACATTTTTATTTCTCACTATGCCCAACAAATCCTGAAGCCACCATTGACTTCTGCTGTACTAGAAGTAATGCCATTCACCTGCTGCTTCCATCCCCAAGCTTAATATTTTCCAATCATTTGTCATCTCCCTTATAACCAATCTTTTGTATGACATCCATATCCTGCCTTCCACCAGATTTTTTCCATTGGATTGCATATTTGGCTTTGTTCAATTACTTCTTTTTGCATATGACATGCTTTAATTATTTTCAACCAATGAACTATTTGTCCTTCCAAATTCCACTTGGCCATCATCTCATTCTGGGTGCTCTTTCTTAACCCCTAAGTCTGGGCCATAGGTATTTCCTTAGCAACTGTAGCAACAGGTACCAGGGCCTGCATTTTGAAACAAATATTTACACACCAGCTGCCAGACTATTCCATGTAACTTTTAAGAGAAAGAACTCAGTTTTCCTGAGCTGTACTGACATCAATATGGCCCAGACTAATACATAACTGAGCCTTCCTACACTGAATATATATACAGCGAGTGTTTCTTAAAATGAGTTGTAAGAAAAAAGGTGCTTTCAATATGGAAAACCATTGCCTTACTTGTTTTTACATGTGGCTAATTTTTATATATTTGATTTACATGAAATTATGAAAGGCTTAATTAATTAATCAAGAACCAAGTTACTTTTGATCGGTATCTAGTTAGCATAGTGTTAATCTAGTGAGCACCCAAATTACATAAAAATTCTATCCGATTTATTCAATCTTAGAAGAAAATACGTATTTTGTAAATCAAAATGCATAAGATGGGTATTCCAGAATATAAAGAAATATTTTTGCATATGAATGTATTTTAAACTAAAATATTAAAGCTAGGGCAATGAAAAGTTGATATGTGCTAAATAAGTTAGACTTTATCCATTACTACCCAGAGCAGAGACTAGGTAATATTTGTATAACATTAGAGCAATTGAACTCATGTGCCAACTATTTGAATTTGCCAAAGAAAGGGGAACCCTTATAAACCTATGATTATTGCCAAACATCTGTTTTAAGTCTTAAAATTCTGGTTTTTAGAACTTTATCTTTCAAAAAGCTCTAGAAACAAATTAATATCATTGTGGTAAAGGTGTGTATCATTTAGATTTCATTATGCATAATCTCTTCCATTGTCTAGATCATGCATTATTTTTATGAGCTTCTGTATGAAAAATATTCATCAGGGCCTCCTACTCAGACCCAATATCAAGGGCAAATATGTGAACAAGGGAGGACAAAGAGAACTCAGTTGTAGGACTAGCAATATATCGATTACTTTTGAGTCACTGTGACCGAGTTGCTTGAGGACATTTTAATGGAGGAAAGATTTACTTCAGCTTGTGGTTTCAAAGGATTCAATTCATCATGATGAAGAGGGCACAGAAATAGCTCCCATTATGGCATATAAGAAGTAGTGAGAGAAGGAGAGTAAATGCCAGCACTCTTCTGGATCTCTCTTTTTTCTCTTTTTATCAGTTCAGAACCTCCTACCCCATGGGAAAGTACCCTCCACATTCAGAGTGGCTACTTCTTCTAGTTAATCTCCAGAGGTGTGCCTCAGTATTTTTCCGGTGATTCTATTCCCACTCAAACTCACAATGATGATTAACCATTACAAGCAAGGATCTGGAGAGCTATTGCAGTGGTTCGTATTAATTGGCAACTTGACAGGATCTGGAATAATGGAGGAGTTACATCTCTTGGTACATCTTTGAGGGATTATTTAGTTATTTAGTATGTTCTTGTGTGGGATTTCGGTAAATGGGTTCATTGAAGTGGGAAAAACTGTACTAAAAGTAAGTGTCACTATTCTCTGGGCTAGGGTCCTGAACAGTATAAGAAGGAGAAAGTAAGCTGGGTACAAGCATTCATTGCTATTTGCTTTCTGAGTGGATAAGATGTGACCAGCTGACTCATGCTCCCGATGCTGTGTCTTCCCTGTTACGATGAACCATATCTTTAAACTGTGAGCCCACATAAGCCCTTTTTCTCATAAGTTGCTTTTATAGGGATATTTTATCACATCAGTAAGAAAGAAAAGTAAGACATGAATGTTACTACAGCCTGCCAATGGCAGAAGTAAAGACTTACGGGATTCAACTAATTAAGAGTCCTACTTACCTAACAAACCCAATAATTTTCTCTTTTGCTAGTAAATCATCATTTGTTCCCAGTCACATAACTACAAACTATTGAAATTTGAATTAACATCCTTACAATAAGTGGGCTTTTCCTTTAATAATGTTTAGCAACATACCTGGCCTCTACTCACTAGATGCCAGAAGCACTGGTCTTTCCTTAGTTATGACAACCAAGGATGTCTATATTTTCCAGATATTTCTTAGGAGAACAAAACAATCCCCAAAACAGTTTTGGTCACCTGTTCACATATGTGCACAAAGAAAGACTATATTTCTAGTCTCCTTTGCACCTGCATGAGACTGTAAGAGATATTAAATATCAAAATTTAAATCAACACAAGATTCAAGGTAGAATTCAATCTCATATTCATCTAGTACTACATGCTGGTCTGAGTCACCACATTATGGCCAATGAAAATCATTCCTACTGTATTATATTGTATAGTTTTCTAACATGGTCCTGTGGCTCCAAAATCCTTGTTTCCCACAATAATGCCCATTCTAAAATTTCAACTATAAACTGTTACACTGTTAGTCAAGTCAGGTCTTTTTAAGCTCAAAATTCTCCAGTGACTCTCACTTCATTGATCTTGTAATTTTCCCTTAGCTTTTAGTCTTCAACTGTTGCTGCTCTCATGCTAGCCCAAATATAAGCAAATACTTACTGTAAATATTTAGATACATGGTAAATAGAGATAATTTTTTAGACTTCATGAGCCATGCAATCTCTGAAGACCACATATATTGAGTGTAGATTTTTTTATTCTACTTTGGTGCACACATCACCTACAACACCACATTTTTTAAGGAACTGAATGTGATCGTTTAATCATTTGGCTTTCTGCTCAAAAGTCTATAAAGTAAAAATTGTTTTCACTTAATGTTGTCTGTTGTCTTAGAGAGTAATGGAAAAATCAATAGCATAGTTGTGTTTCAATTCCTCAAGAGTCTTGCATATGGAAATTCTTTCCTAGCAGTTTCTGTCAGTTTTGCTCTAGAATACTCAAAAGACACACTAAATTCAAAGAAGCATGAAGGTGAACATCTTCCATCTGGTCTATGAGCTGTTCAGTTATTAACATCATTTGCCATCTGTTCTGGGTACAACATGAACACTGAGAATGCAGAGGACAGGTAACCAGGGGATGCTCCTACTACTAAATTAAAGGTGATGTTAGCAATAGCACCAATGGCAAACCACACTAAGCACTTGTTGGTGTCTAACTTGGATGATCCTGTTAGTTAAATTCTCCAGACTACTATCTATTCTCTCTCTGTCTCTCTCTCTGTCTGTCTGTCTCTGTCTCTATCTCTGTCTCTCTCTCTCTCACACACACACACAAAAACACACACACAGACACACATACATCACACAGTTTTAGAACATTGGGGGTCAACATGGTCATTGTTCAGGATTAGGAATTGTTTAACTGGTACCACCATACCTGTAGAAGTTCCTGTCATGAAAAACTACATTTTGAAGATTTCACCTCTGTATTGTTGAGGTGTCAGTTTCCAGACTATTGTATATAAGTCATTGGATAGGAATAATGATAAGATCACAAGATAAAGGACACATTAAGAGTAGGGTGAAGGGTGAAGGGATGCTTTCAGAGGATCTGTAGAAGGGACAAGAAATGCTGGGCTTAAGATGATATAAAATTGGATCATTTGAGAGCTATTTTCTAAAGAGCATAGAAATTTGGGTTTATATTTATACTAGTGGTTTCAAGGGATCTACTAAAAAAAATAATTGGTTGACATCAGGAGGAGCTAGAATTAAGCTCCAAATGAGGATGACCATTAAAACTCTACAGTTGACTATGGAATGCACCATGTTGAAAGGTAATGAATTCCTGGATGTTAGAGATAGGCAAGTGTTTACCATTTGCTGGAGATGTTTGATGGTATCTCCCATTCATGGACCACTGACTATATGTGAAAATTATTAAAGTAAGAACTGTAGGAAAGCAAGCCATACTGAAGGCAGTGACTGAAGTTTATGAGAGACATATTCACTAAGCTATATACATGTGTCAACTCTACAAAATTCTAATTATACTGATTGAGTTTTAATAAACTTGGTCCAGTATAGTTGATCCCACAACAACATTTCAGTTGTGCTATAATTTTTGTGAAGTATTTAATATCAAATCTTTAAGATATAAGGCATAAAAATTTCAAATTCCCTAAATAGTGGCACTCAATTTTGCATTATGTAAAGAAAATTATGTATTGAATTGAATACATCCTGAGAGTCTAACAAACCAAATATGTGGAAACTTATAGCATGGATACAACAACATAACCTTCCTAATCATCCCTTCTTTTCTTCCTCTACTGCTCAGTTTCTGCTAGACGTTGATCAGAGGGAGAGAAGTCAATACCTTCGCAGTCAAAGTCTATTTGGTACACTGTTTGTTTCTTCAGGGAGTCAATAACCCAAGAACTGAGAACTTGATCAATAAAATCAAGTCTGTATTTTGTCTTGCCCTGGATGCCTTTCTACCAACTTTCTACCACATACAGCTTATAAAAGACTTAAGAGGTTTTGAAAGGTGAGCAATGGGAACCTATGGGCTGGCATTGTTTTCCACACCTGCAGAATATACATGTGAAATCAGGTGCAAAAACAGTATCTCACCAACTCTGGCCAATATTGTATATCTCTAAATTTGCATAATCCTCTTAAGACAGCTTTTTTTCAGATGAGTAGGGGCTGAAAATTCTGTTTTTAAATTAGCAATTACTGATGCAGGTGAACACTGTAAACCATCAGGAGGTACTTTCCTGTGGCTTCTCCTAAGGACACTCAAAGCATCAGGAAGAACTAGAAACAATCTACATTGGATAGTTCTTCCTTATTATTTAGTTTTGTACATCATCTGTATCCTGGCTCTCTTATGCCTTTCATGCAGCCTTTTTTATTAGTGCCTCAGCTCTAACCTCCTTCATAAAAAAAGAAAAACAGGAAGTAATAGATAAACTTGTTTTAAAAGAAAGTATCTGGAGTTTAACTCTATTTCTCTCTTGTTCATTACTATGGTTACCAAATTTAAGACTTAAGAAACATAACCTATCTCAAGGTCCCCAGGGAAGATTGATTATAGTAAACGATAGAGTACAGAAATTGATCAAAAGGTGAAAATAACTCCAGTATCTTTTGATTTAATTGTTAGCCAACTGAGTTCCTGTATAAGCACGTGTGTATGAAGGTATGTAGCAAAGGACTTTGATATTGACTCTCTTCCTTTCCAAAACTTTTAGTGCAATAGATTTATGGCCAGCAGAAAGAATACATCCTGTGGGTCTGGGAAGACCTTTTTTCACAGAAAATGGTCTGAACAACTAGGCTGACACTAATTCCTTTCTCCCCAGTTATGTGCCTTGTAATAAAACAAATATACCCAGCTGAATATGACACAGCTTCAATACCAAAAGCACAGGTTACCAAGTAATGAGCCCACTGGGTTGTGGGCATCAAAGTCCTCACCTGGGAATATAGGATGAATAGGCTTAGTGAGTTTTGTGAGGTACAATAGTTAGTACAATAAACAAGTGCTATCCCTGCCATCTTAGCAACAAAATCCCAGGGCCCTTGCCTCTGGATCTAGACGCGCTTCTTAACGGAGTCTGAGAAGGTTTACAAGAGACAGAGAGAGACCCCTATGGGCTTGCTTTCCTGGCTTTCAAAACATACTTGCTATGTTATACCTCATCATCAAAATAAATCATCAAACTCATCAAAACAGAATAAAATGGTAATTGCTAGGACTGGGAGGAGGGAAAGTGAGGGATGCTGGTCAAAGTTTATAATGTTGCAGTAATTACAGACAAATAAATTGTAGGGATCTCATGCATGCACAGTACTGTAAATATAGGTTAAAACACTATATATATATATAGTGAGATATATATATATATATATATACTTGAGATTTGGTAAGAGAGTAGAGATTAAGTGTTCTTATGAAAAAGAAAGACAAAAGGAATATGATACACAGGATGTGATAATTGCTGTGATTATGGCTCTTATATATGCATATACATCACAAGTTATACTTCATAAATAACATGCGATTTTATAGGTTATAGCTGAATAAATTGAAAAAGTCATAAGGAAAATAATATAATGTTGTATTCCTAGCACACATGCACAGAAACCATTTTTTTCTGTGGACTAACACATACATGTTGTCTCATCCATTAATATATCTAACATAATAACATTGAACTAAGCACTATTTACTTTGCATAATAGGATTCACTCCAAAATTTTCTAGTCTATTCCCTAATTTTCATTGTTTTTCAAAAACATTGCTGGTGAACCACTGAACTGATTTCAACTACTTCTCAGAGTCCAAATTATTACATTAAATTGTCCTAGTTTCTTTGTTGTTAGCATTCACTTATTAAACATTTTCTGAGCATCTACCATATGATATGAATGTAGTGTAAATAGGGAAATCTAAAAGAGCAGTTTCCAAATGCCCATCAGAGTCCTGATGCAGACTGAAAGGACAATTAAAGTATGCTTAAATCCATTGCAACTGTTATCTACTATGCTGGACAAGGTACTGAAATTTCACAAGAGTCTGAATTTCCTCACTATCTATCATACCTTATAAAGATCCTGTCACTCGCCATTATGTCCTACATGCTATTTGTACCTCACTTCTTGTTGATTTTAGTGATGAAATAGCGTGAGATAATTTCATGTATTCATGAGCTTCTTGGAGAAGAATCTCTTTTATAATATCTAGTATTCAAAGTTGCAGAATTCACTTTTGTACTTAATTCATTAACTAGTTGCATGCCTCCATGATAATAAGTACAGATCACACAGGCACCAATAATAATAAACTTTATGATCTTATTGGATTATTCAAGCTTCACTTTGCAATTTTCATTACATAGTCATGTTTCGCTTTCCAAACAGTTCCATGCATTTTTTCACTTGATCTTTTTGTTTATTGTTGTGCACCTTTAGTCTAGTTATAATTCCCTCCAGGAGATTCCAAACTCTGTTAAGCAGTAGCCATAGATACTGTTTTCTATTATTTTCTAAATGCTTTCATTTATTATATCAGATTTTTCATAATGTCATTTTGAGTCTCTTATGCAGTAAACAGCAATTATGGTTCTCAAAAATAACATGTAAGATAGTTTTAAAGAGCCAGAGACATTTTGCATGTGCATAAGCAAACAAGTTTATATAATGAATTCAGTTATACTATTCTAGGTAGCTGTCCATTTTCTTCCTACTGACTTTTGCTTTGACCCAAAACTCCAGGGGTTGGAACTCCTAAGTCTACATAGCCATGCACATTTAAAATGTCACATCTAAGAAATGACATGGTTGGATTTCTACTTTCAGATCCCCAAGCTATGAGGCACTGCACAGAATCTACTAATTGGTTAAACAGAAGCACCAAGTATGTACCAGACACTGTGACAGGCAATTCGGAGAAAATGTGAACCAGCTTTGCTGTTTGAAATAACACTAATGCCACTTTCCAATGCCTTTCTGAAAACCAGAAGAAGGAAAGAACATAGTTGATGAGTGCTGCAGGTGTGCTAAGAACCAGCGTTGGGATCCTGCATTTGCCATCTGGTGTAAATAAAAGAGCCTTGCAGAGAGTGAACTCTCTCTTGTAGAAGATGCTCTCATTTAAAGGAATTTCTTGGCTATCTTTTGGTCATGTGTGCTGTAGCTATTGTGACAGAAATGACTTCTTTGTTCGCAAGCAGATTGCATTCACAGGGTAAAACATTTATCCCAGAAACATCAATCCTCTGGGTGTGCAGCATATATGCTCTTTACATTACATTTTTCTTAACCCTTCAATTCTTGGCACATGGATAATTCTTTGTCCATGAACAACAAGATTCTTTAGCAGGTTTCAGAACTTCCAGCCACTGGATTACTGCAGCACACATAGTTCCCATTCACAAAGTTGTAAACTAAAATGTTTCCAGATGATGCCAAATATCCTCTGGGCTAGGGAAACCATAGCCTCTGTCTGGCGTAGATTAAAGGAGGTGTCTGTGACACCAACTCTCATTTTCACCTGAATTTCAAGGTATGGGGAGATCTTGAGGTTCCTGTGATGTAGATGTGAGTTCTAACAGAAAGGTGGGATGAAGCCATTTTCTGGTGAACTTCGAATGCCACCTGTGAGGGTACAGTTTTCACTATCTGTTTAATTATTTAATCCTGATTTACTTATTCATAGAATCAAGACAAACATATAATGGTTACTGTTGATGTTATAACACAAAGTAAACATAAGCATTGCTTCTTTCTAGAGAATAAGCTTTCTTTAAGAGCACAGAACACCCTACAATTTTGTTGAGTGTTTTTTAATTTAAATTAGAAACAATATTACTTTACATATCAATCCTAGTTCCTTCTCCCTCCCATCCTCCATTTCTCCCACCAACCCCACATCCCATCCCCTTTATGCTCCCCAGGGAGGGTGAGGCCTTCCATGGGGGACCTTCAAATTATGTCACATCATTTGGAGCAGGGCCTAGGCCCTCCCCCCTGTGTCTAGGCTGACAGAGTATTCCAAAGTCCTTTCATACACTAGAGATAAATACTGATCCTCTACCAGAGGCCCAATGAACTGCCCAGGCCTCCTAACTAATAAATTCCCTCAGAAATAACTCGACTGCATTAGAATTTTCCTGCAATTGTCCTTTTCTTCTTGTTGACCCTTAAAGCTGAATGAACACAGGTTTCAGGCAGTTTACACCATATTTCCTTTTCTAATAAAGAACACTACAAAGGAAACATTCAAAACTAGCTGTTTAGCCAACAAACTTGACAGTTGTCCATCAGATTAAGGAAAGAGCTTAATACAGGCCATTTCCTGAAATGCTGTCTTACATGGAGCCAGAATCATCCAGTTTTTTTTGTGTCAGATGCTACTTCATCAAAAAGGTAGAAAATCACTCTAGATTCACTTAAGTGTTTCCTCATCCTTATATGAGTTTGTTGCAAATGAGAATGGCATTGATAGAAGACGAATGAGTGTTGTGCTTAGACAATCCAAACTATTTTTATTCAATTCGATCTTTTTATGCTAGTCTAGTTATGGTGAAATAACTGCAGTTTGAGTTACCACAAAGTATCTTATATCAGTTAGGAGCCAGACAGTAAAGAAAGACTGAAGACATCCATCATAGTCTTTATACTATTAAAGAGCTAAGCCACAGGCTTTGTTTGGGGAATGGAAAGCAAATGGATTATTTTGTGAAAGCTGCCAACTTGTTTGGGAAGGCCAGCACGGAGCTACCTGAAAAACACCAATTGTATGATTCAGTAGGAAGAATTTGATTGTTTATTCTGCCCTCGGGGTTAGCACTCAGCACTCCTAGATTCTCTGCCAAAGTATGGACACAAGATAGGAGGAGCTGTTTGGTATTCGGTAAGCAAAGAATGCCGTTCAGAATACTGTAACTCTCATCAGGCCCCTGGCCCAGAGGAGAGTGTGTCTTAGTTTGCTTTGATTTTCTACAATATAAATTCAAGATGAGGAATTGCATGAAAGAGGTCTTTTTAGAAGACAATGTCAACGGAGTGGTGAAGGAATGTGAAAGTGGTAGAACATCAATAAAGGGTGTGTCACTGGCCAATGGCTTATCGTGGTTCATAAAATGAACTAAAACCTCAGAGACTTGGACTTGACTTTGCAAGGTTTGGCAATTCTGGCTATTTAGCCATCAACCAATAGCTTTCTTTAGTTCAAGATAGACTCTTTCAGCATTTTCTTTGTAGCACTTCTAACCTGCATTGTGTATGCATGGGGTGTATTCTAAGAGTTGCAAATCATTGATATTTGTGGAAGGAAGAATAATTTGAAACTTATGAATGTCTGACCTTAAAAAAACAAAGGGATTTTGTAGATCTGGTTAATTTAGAGAAGTTGAGTTATACAGATAATAGGACCAATTTCATCATATGAATTTCGAATGGACTCTTTCCCAGATGTGGCCAGAAGTAGACATCACCATGGGAGAAGTATCAGAGAGATGCAGTGTTCTTGATTTGAAACCAAAGAAAGGAAGTTATGAGGCAAGAATGTGAGTGGACTCTAGACATTGGAAAAGGCAAAAAAGAAGAAACTCTCCCCTAGATATATAAATGAACCAACTGAATCTGAAACGTTCCCTATACATTCATGCTTTGGAGGCTTAGTGCTATTTTGGGAGATTTGGGTAATTTTTGGAGGTGCGGCCCAACCAGGGGGGCTTGGAAATCACTGGAGACCACTCCTTTAATTTATATCACCCTTGGCTATTTCCTGTCACCACCCTCCCTCTGCATCTTGGTCTACCAGGACCTGAACTTTTCTGCTCTGCCATTCATTTCATGTCATGATGGACTAGACCTTGAACCAAAATAAATACAGCATTATTTTAAGTTGTTTAGTATTTTGTTCACAATGACACAAAAGTAACACAGACAGACTTGGTCTGTTGGTAAATTATTATTTCTTCTCTAGATTGATACATGTTAGCTTAAAAGCCTATCCATAACAAACTTGAGTCATTAAAAAAGTACCTTAAATAGATTTTGGCCACATGGAGCTAATTTCTTCATATATCTATGAAACTCTACAAAACATCTTTTGAATATTAGTCAGAGCTTTGTGATTTTAAGGCCCCAAGTTGCTACTGCCCTTTGAAGGCCATAGACTCCTCACTGTCAGCTACATAATCGAGTTCCCCCTCTTCTGATCTCACCTTTCTCTGCAAATCTCCTTGTCTTCCTCCCTTCCAAATAATGGCCCCATTCTTTAAGATAGCTCTATGCCCTGAATCATCTGATCTTCCAGGTAATGCTAGGCAAACATTGCCAAATTAAGTCACTGTATGTGACTGCCTGCACAGTTCTCTATTTTCCTCTGATGAGCCACCATAACTGTCAATATCATTCACAGACTTCCAGAAGCAGTATGGCCCTCCCAACATGTTACTGGAAACCCAGTGAGCTAAGGGTTAGGTGTCTGACTTCTAGAGTTACAGATACTGTTTATCTTGTTCTGAGTCACCAGGTTTCTGGTGATTTGTTATGACAATGATGGCCAATACTTGTTACTCTAATAATTCAAGTCACAAACTCATTTTCATATTTATACCTGCTTAAGACAAGCTGTGTTAAGCTTTTAGTACATGTCCCAGATTTGGAAAGCTAGTTCCAGCAACATTACAAAAAGGCAAACTAATGTGAACATGCAATGATATGTGCTTTACAGAGGGAGCTACAGGTATGTCCAAATTAACAGTACAATTAAGAGAGTGTTTAAATAAAAGTACCACATCATTTTCCTAATATTGTGCCCCAGTCCAGTTTGACCATTCCCATATGGAAGGCTATTTCTATAGTTCTAATCTATAGATTACAATGAATCATCTGTAAAGCATTTCAGAAGATTCTACTTCATGAGCCATTAAGTCTTCTAGCTGCTCAGGTGCTTTGTTCTCAGCTCTTTTCTGGACCCAGGTCTGTGATATAGTAGAAGCACCACATTGCTTGTGTTTATCTTGTAGACTCTTTTCCTTCTCTCTGTTTCCAACACGCTGCTGCTCACAGGGTGCTGCCCTCCAGCATCTCTTTCCTTTTCTTTCCTTCCCTTTCCTTTCCTTCCTTATCTTTCTCTCCCCTCCTCTCTCTTCCACCACTCTCCTCTTCTCCCCTTTCCTCCCCCTTCCTGATCCTGCCCTGCCATTTCTTTCCCTCTTCCTTCATTTTCTTGCCTCCTCTTTTTCCTGTCTTTTCTCTCCTCGTTTTGCAAATTCCTCTTCAGTTCTCATCAATATCTATAGATTTTGTTCATCTACATTCTGCTCATTTTCTAGTCTTGTTCTCTCTTCTTCATGATGAACTATTGCTTCATGGACCACTCTATTGTGGTGTATCAAAACTTGGCTTATTATTCAGCAAAACTCATACCTAAACCCTTTGGTATTTACCTTGTAATGCCCCAGTCCCTCTCTTGTTAAAGTCATACTGCTTAAAGTCGGCTTAAACTTTTTTTTTGTTGAATTTTGCATGTTCAGTTAATACATGACATACTCATTTTGCTTTCTTTGATTTTCATTTTTATTTAAAATTTTTCACTTTTCATTCTAGTTTTGATTATAAAAAAGGCTCTTCTAATATTCTCACATATCCCACCTTTCTCTGCTTGAAGAACTCTCCCAAGTTTTCGGCTGAAATATTTTTTTCTATAATGCAAATATTACCATGTTGTTCTGCCATTTAGATACCTCCCTTCAGGAGGAAACTAAATATTTTGGCATGATACAGAACCTTTCCTTGCATGGTAAATGCTCACCTCTCTAGCCTTCTCTTTTGTTACTCATATTTGAGGGAGCCCAAGCATTAACATGGTACTTGTTTTGGTTGGTTTGATGCAGAGGACCTTAAATAAGGATGCAGATGTAAGCGGTCTGACAGGTGATCTCAGGAAACTAGTAGAGGAGTGGGTGGTAAAAGAGCCACCTCTATACCCAGGAAAGACAAGGCACCAACTTATGGTGCACTGGAAGCAGGCTTCTTACGTGTATCTAAAGTTCAGTTGCATAAGAATCACTGGAAGCCAGTATAGAGCATATCTATAATAGGACAAGTAAA